AAGATTCATTTATAATTTGTGCGACAAACAAAAAAAAAACACGATTACTTAGCGGACACTTTTAATTATATAATGAAGAATGTGATCTATTTTACGCGTGAAAATTTGTGAAAATCCATTAGAATATGTATGTAAGTGTTATTTGAGAGAAGTCGCATTTCTTGTAACAGTAACATAAGGAATAATAAGAATAATCGGTAAGGGTTTAGAAATCAATCTTTCACAGAGAGGTAACATTTAGTTTAAAAATAACAACAAACAGTCACTACCACCTAACCAATGTTCAAGACAGTAAGAGATAAGTTACTAAATTTAGATAGCAAAGCTTTAAAGAAGGAATCCAAACTTCCAAGATTGCAAAAAAATAAAAAAAAATTTTTTTCAACTATGCATTTCATATAAATTCATACACATACTTGCTTGTAAATTATATTTGAAATGATTGGTTCCGATCATGTAAACATTCTTATGCAAAATAAACTTTACACAATTTCATGTAATGAATCTGATGAAAGATAACAAAAGGAAAAAAAATAATTCGTATGCTTAAATTATAAGTATAAACGAATATGCAGTGATCTAAAAGTCTTACCATACATTTTCATGAAATAATGTGAGAAAATAAGATTTTAAAAACGAAGCAAGGTTCTTTTATGTACATTTAATTTAGTTTTGAAAAAGAATTAGATGAATGTAGAATGTGCAGAATAATGAGATACATAGATACATGGATACATGAATACATGATGACTAAAAAATGACATTAATGAATAACATGTAAATGTTGTAATAACGTACCTAATTACATGCCTAACTATATACCTAACTGACAGATTATGTACCCTTCTGTAATGTCTGTTATTTAAGTTTATGCAAAATAAATCTTTAATCACCAATTCTATTCAAACATTTAAAGTTTATGAAGTTTATGGTAGATAAGTACACGTATGTACATACAAACGTACTGGTACGTATTGGTACTACTTATGTATGCATGACACAATAATAACACATTGGAAATACAACGATGTCGCGAGAACTTGAGTTATTCTAGGCAATTTATTAATTACTTTTTGTATTTTCCTTTTCTTGCATTTATTATATGATGATACAATTATCAACTATTTAGTAACTCCGCTTCCGATGACAAACTCCGAATATCAAATTTGGTATTGCTGCGGCACTGCGTCGAAAATGAATTGCATACGTTACATAAAATTACAAAGGAATAAACCCTTGTTAAGAGCACAAATGAGACACGCACTTAATAAATTTACACGAAAAAAAATAATAAATTTTAATTGGTCAAAAATTAAACATTTTAATTCTTTGTTTACATATCTGACTATATAAAGTAGAAAGATCTCGTGACTTATCAAAATAGGAATAGTTTCGGGCTTAGCATTAACGTTAATGTTTTAATTTTTTTTCAATGTTCATTGTTTGAACTATAACGATAAGCTTGGATTGATGATAAGGTATGATAATGCTGATGACAAAAAATATTACAAGGGATTTTTTTTTTAAATAATGTCAAATGTTATTGACAATTAACAATAACAAATTTTCAATTCACGTTTACAAACTGATCAAATCCTTTGAAATTAAACCAAGTTAAGAAATTTCCGAACAATCGAGTTGAAAAAATATATTTTTATAAATTGAAATTAATATATACATATTTATTAATATTGATACATATATGCATTGTATTGTTATAAAAAAAAAAAAATTTTAAACTAAATAGGGAAAAAAATCAAAGGACAATCTTGATTAGTCGAAATTTATGATCTTTGAAGATTTTTAAACATACTTGAAATGTAAATTATTAAATCCATAAAAGGTATGACATAAAAAAATTTGCAGCTCTGAAAACGGATCAATTGTTAAGATTTTTTTTTTTTTTTTAAAATAAATGAAAAATGAAATTTGTCACCTTGACAATGCTCAACAAGATTAAATTGTCACCATATTATAAGTACACATTAAAAAATTAATCATTATAGGATTAGATCAATTATGATATATAATTTGACAAGAAATAATATCAATAATATCAACTGATTTGGACACGGGAATTTTTTTTTTATTTTACAATAAAATAATGTTTACATAAAAATAATATAATATATCTGATATATATATATATAATATGATACATAGTATAGCAGATAATATATCAAATATACGTATATTCTTTTTTACTCTTTTTTACTCTTTTTTATTCTTTGACTAGCATACATCCGTACTGTACGTGATACCTTGAGTTATTAGTGTTACCTAAGCATACGGCTGCGTTTAGTTCGTGTAATCTAGTTCTCACGATACACATAAGCCACTTTCCTAACATATTCCAATATTTACACTTAGTAAGAAGCAACACAAACCTAAAATCCTGTTTTTTCTTAAAAATATTCGAGTTTTTTTTTTTTTTACGTAACGAATTGATGCGCGTCACTCTTAATATATATTGAAACAATAGAAGTTTCATTTTTAGGTTCATATTAATAACAATAGATCTCTACGTAGTAGTGTTGGTAAAATGAGAGACAATAGACATTTTCTTAATTAATCATAACGGATAAAGGTATTATTATATATTAACAATAGGATTTTCCCGTTCCATTAATTTTTCAACCTAGTTAGAACTAATTAAAAAAAAGAATAGTTTCAAATTAATTTAAAGTTCATTATTATATTGAATCATTACATATGATGATTATAATTCAGATTCAGATTTTCGATGGGAAAAATTATCAATTAAGACATCTACTTCTTAAAACTTCTTGAAACACCTTTTTACAGAATAATAATAATAATAAAAAAAAAAAAATTTTTTTTTGAAAAATCTCAATAAAGTAAATATAAGGTGATCTAATTTAGAATCTAGTTTTACGTAAAAGATCTAATCTTAATAATAACCTAACCTAAAGTCTTAATTCGAAATTCGAAATCATGAATTTTCATTTAATATTCATGTGAATGCAAATAAAATGTATGCATACTCTTTTTTTTACTTTGGAAAAAAAAAGAAAAAATCATCTTATGTATAACAGAACAGTAATGGTTATGTAGGTACAGTAATACTTGTAAATGTATACGTATGTACCATAACATAACACGCATTACATTTCTATGCATAATACTGTAAATGCGTAATCATATATATACAAACAACGTCTTTTTTTCCATTCACTCAAATTTGGTTAACGTGATACGATTACAAATTTATTTTCGATTTTATTAAAAAAAAAAATAATCAAACCCTACTTACATATATCCTTCTTATTCATGCGTATGATTCTAAAATGTCTTAGCACGCGGGTAACGCAATTCATCATACTACAGTGATAAATATTACTATATACTAGAATATGCTCGCTATTTTAAGAGTCAAAAAAAATCCCACGAGATGACGAAAGTTCGGGCCATGCAAAAGTAATATATTCCAAACCAAGAAATGATTAGTAAAAAAAGAATGTTCAACTTAAAATGACGCCACATGTTTCAAGTTTACAAAAAATATTTACTCTGAGGTGATTTTCACATAAAGACAGATTTGTAAAACAAAAAAAAAAAAATATCGTGTAAATTGTACTCTAGAAAATCTAAATATCATATATCATGTTACCTATTATTTTTTTAAAACAATCTTAAGAGAGGATTACGTGATAGTACGACCATGTGCTATTCAGTAAACCAAACCAATCACTATTGTAACATGTGTCTTTTCTAATAATAAAAGAGAATACGTAGATACATTCATACATTGCGTACATATTGGTATCAAAGTTATCCAAGATCAAAGGTAGAAAATTTAATAACAAATCTTTTAAATTTTTTTTTCTAATATTGCAAAAAGGGTACTCATGTACTCGTTTAATTTATTAACATCAATCATAACTACCATTATTAAGTCGTAAATTTTTTTTTGCTCTTTTTTTTCTTTTTTTTTTTAAAAAAAAACAGCTTCAATTCCATATATGGATAATCCTTGTAAGGTAAGAATGCCTGTTACATTAAACCTAATTTTGAATTAACCTAGCATGTAATAAAACCAAAAAAAAAAAAAAAAAGGGACAAAAAAAAACTATATATGAAAACAGGAAGAAAATATCTACATATATACACAGTTGAAATTTTATATCCTAAAAATAAACTACACTTTAAATGTACCTGTATTTTCTTTTTTTTTTTTCATCACACAACCATTAACAATCATTAATTAAAAAATCACACAACCATTAAAAATAAAATGTTTTAAAATGTTCGATAAATGTTCAAAGAAACCCATATTAAAGAGCCAAAAAAAAAATTTTTTTTTTTGAAAAAAGGAAATCCTATATTCCTATTAAAAAAAAAAATTTTTTTTTAAAGGTAACCAATCCTATTAATCCTATTATAAAGTTGTGATACATAATTATGAGTGTATAAATGTTCATTTTTTTTTTTTGTGTCGTGAAAAGTCTACAAAAATCTTTTTTTTTTTGAGTTAGAGGAAGATATCATCATATATATACATAAATTGATGGTGATCGCTTAGAGGATAAGGATGATGAAGGATGATGTAAAGAATTCTCTCTCTCTCTTTCTTTCTTTCTCTCTCTATTAATACAAATGTAGTAGAAAGGAACAATAATTTCGCGGTTGTAAAAAAAAAACTCTTACTAAATTAGGTTATGAAGGGTTTTGTATATATGGGAGTGTGGGTATACCACGATTACGTCATCTCCGCTCCTTAATCGTTCCGGCCACCGTTTTAGGGTTTAATGTACACGGAGTGTAACATTCGTGAAAGTATTTACAAAAAGTAGTAGAAAATAACAAAAATGGTTATGAAATTATCTAAATGACAAAAAAAAAAAAAAAATTTTTTTTTTTTTTTGTGGAATGGGATGGTTTCAAGTCTAATTTTAGATATTGTAAATGAGACGTCTAAAAATGAATCTACAAAGAATGATCAAATGACTTTTTTTTATGATCCGTGAATTTCTTTATGATTAACGACTTAATGACCCACGAGCCGCTGGTGTAATTGTTATTGAAGATGGAAAAGTTGATGAAGAAAATATTTTACTTAGTAAACCTTGTCCCAATCTTCTTTGTCTTTGTAATTTTTCATCAATACTATTTCCATCCAAATTTTCACAAACCTCATCTACATCTGATTCCTCACCATTATCATCATCACTTATTTCATTTTTATCAAATGGAATTGGTGTACTTGGTGGTGAAAAATCGTAACCATTTTTGGTACTAGTAGGACGACAAGATGCTAAAGTTTGAATTATATCTCCGGTTTTAAATTTAATTAAACGTGGCATACCACCACGAGATTTTGAATCATTCGCAGTATTATCAGCGCAAACAGTAGATGAAGAAGTTGGTGATATTGAATGACGACGACGTGAAGAATGTTGTGATAAAGTTATATCAGCATTATCATCAGGTAAAACATCATCATCAGGATTCAAATGACTACGTGGACCAAAATCAATAGACCAACGTCTTTGATGTTTAATCTTCTTTGAAGAATCATTAGATTGAGAAGGAAGTATAGAAGATAATATAGATTGAGGACGAAATATTGAAGATGAATGAGATGATTGAGAAGATTGTTGAGGAGAAGGAGAGGAATTTTTAATAGATTGAGGATTTTTAGTAGATTGAGGAGGGGAATTATTATTAGAACGAGGAGGAGAAGGAGAAGGAGAAGGAGAGGAATTTTTAGTGGATCTAGGAGGGGAAGAATCCTTTTTAGATAATTTTTCTTTAGATTTTTTGATAGATAATTTATCTTGATAAGAAGCAGGTTGAAGTGAATTATCAACAAGATTTGTATCAACCTTATCAATATTATCAACCTTATTATCAGCCTTAATACCAATTTTATCATTGGTGGATAACCCGTTTTCATTTACACTGCCACCGCCACTACTCCTAATGATTATACTTCCGTCCTTGGCATGTTTACTAAATATCAAAGCCTCTAAAACTCTAATTTTTAGTATAGCCTTTTGATTTTCATTACGATAACTTTGTAAAGTAGACTCTTTTTGATTAACAATATTTTTTAAAGCTTGAATAGTTAATCTAGAATGTTCAAGTTCTAATAAAAGTTTAATATTTTGATTCTTTAAAAAAGAATTATCAACTTTTAATCGAGTTAACGATGTAGTAGAAGATTTTCTTCTTGATTTTTTCGAACCAGAACCCATAGAATCGGAATGATTACCTAACCTTGAAGGAGGGCGACCAAATGGAGCATACATATAATCTACATCAATATCACTCTCTTCTGAGCCACTTGAATAGTAATCAACATCATCTACAACATCATCGATAATATCATCATCATCATCATCATCATCGTCAAGGTTCGAGTCACTATCATCGGAATTAAAAAAACGTGGTGGTTGAGAATATGAGAGTAATTCTTCTTCATGATCCTGTAATAAAGTTAAAAAAAACATTGAGTTGATATTTTAAGGATGCGTAAAACAATGAAGGAGGAAAATGAATATTAACTGGATTAAGAGGGTCAACAATATCAGGAAGAATCGTTGACGCCATGATCATTTAAAAGAATTTTTAAAGGTCCAAGTAAATAGTAATAATAATAGTAATAATAATAATAATAATATAAGAATAATAAATACAAGAATTATTATTATATAATATTTATATATATATATATATATATAACGTATATATATATATATATTCTTTTTTCTTTTTTTAAAAAAAGTGTCTTTCTTTATTAAAAGGTTAGAACGACACTTAAAGGACAAGAAAGAAAAGATGGGAATGGATGAAAAAAGTTTATACCGTTTAACCGTAAAAAGTTGTAGGTGAGAAATAAAAGAAAATAAAGACTATTTATAAAGATAACAGGTTAACCACCTGTTGTAAAAAAAAAAAAACAAAAATAAAAGACGTTAAAAATAATAATACTTGTGCTTTAAAAGCAACCAAAGAATTAAAAAAAAAAACACGAACAGTTGCACTCAAGATTTTATAGGCAAAAATCTGGCGTACAATATATATGTATAAAAACAAATTATATATTTTTTATTTGAATCAATATTTTTTTATACAAAGTTTACTTTAACAGCTATGGCTTTGATTTGGCCACAGTAATAATAAGTATAAGTATAAATAAATATTAATTTGTATATTAGATAAAATAATCGTAATACAAATGTAATCTCCGAACAAAAAAAAAAAAGTCAGAATTTAAAGAGGTACGTAGTAATTCGAGTAATTCAAATAAGTCAGAACACGCATAATCATAATTAATAATACTGCAATAATACAGTAATAATAATAATAATAGTAATAATAAAATTAAAGTTATCAAGGCAGTATTTAAATATTAAAAACATTAATATACTTTGTAATTTATTACATTTGAAAGGAGAAGATTTGAGAATATCGAAGAAAAAGCATGTGGACAAACTTTTTTTTTTTTTTTTATATTTTTTACATATACATAAATAAGTATAAAGTGTATCACTTCCCAGTACTAAAGTTAAGTATATAAAATACGTAGTATGTACGTATGTACATAAGTACAGTAATGTGCGTATGGCTGACAGTGATATTTGGTTACTAGTCATGTTAATCATATTAATAAATAATTCTGGACTGATTGGCTATTGGTAAAGTGTAATTCACATGAATATTCTTCATAGAGAAATGTAAAACAAGTGAACGACCTATTAAATTGATAATAAAATGATAAAACGTTACCCATATTTTCATTAGAATCGAAGATGAAATCTAGTTTACTTATCAATTGCGATGAATGCAAGAAATTATGATAATTGTAACAATTGTAATTCTTGTAATTCTTGTAATTCTTATAAATTCTTATAAATTCTTATAAAGTTTTGGTGGAATTATTTCATTCATATTACAATAATCAAAAAAAAAACAAACTACCGATACATTATTGTTATTGTACAATAGATAGAAAAAAGGTGACAAATGTGAGGTAAAGTAACCTCGGATTATCCGATCAGGTCTTTTTTATTGGCTTATGTATGAACATTATGAATATTATGAATATAATATATGAATATTATGAATATTATGAATATTAGAATATTAGAATATTAGAATATAATATTAGAATATTTTATGAAAATGAAATCGAATTAAGATAATTGGTATATAGAAAGAGATGTTTGTCATGCGTATATTATTTTTTCCAAATCATGATTCATTTAAACAACTTTGGTATACAAAAAGTATCTTGAAATATTTAGTTATATGATTCTAACTATCTCACTTTTTTCCAAACACTTGGCAAAAAAAGGTTATATCACCGAGTGATATCAATAAATCAAAGAGAGAAAAAAAAAAAAAAATTGTCGGATCATAATATGATTTTCATTTCATTGATAACGCATATAAATTCTAATTATGTAATAATACATGTCTTTAACAGTTAAAAATAATTTATCCCGATTTGAAATTAATAAGGAAACAAAATTTTTTTTTTTGATTTTGATTTTTTTTTATTTAGGAATTATATAGAATAAAAGGGTTAAATGTAGGCTAAATCTAGGTCGCATTTATGTTTATCAATTCTTGAATTATTCAAAACGTGCAGTCATCATCAAAACGTGAGAGTTCGAGAATTTCGAGAATTTAGAAGCATCTAAAAGTAATGTACATATTGTACATACGTACATATTGATACGTACGCTCATGACTTGATAAATCATTGGATCATATGATTGGACTGATTTTCTAATTTAGAAACTTGGAATAAATAAATTACTAATGTTAATGTTAATAAAGCTAGCATTTAACAAAATTCTGAATTTAGAATAATTAAATATTATATACCTAGTTCTAGTTTACACTAAATTAAACTAAATTAACTAAATTATTTACTAAATTAATTGACTAAATTATTTAATTTATATTTACTAAACATTCAATCTATTTCTTCTTATTACCTAAATATGATGACGCATTAAACTATAAAAAGTGAGATCATTATGGACGAATCACTTTAAAAAAATCGATGCCAAATGTTCGATATTCGAAAGATGTGGGATTATTAAAAAAGGGACTATTTAAAATTAAAAGAGATTATTAAAAAGGCGGGCGATTGTACAACAGATAAACAAGGTTTAACAAATGAATATATGCTTTCATTTTATCGTATTTTATTGTATTTTATTGTATTTTATTGTGATCGTTTCATAGTAGTAATTGTATATGTTAAATAAGTCTTCCAAATAAATCTATTTTAACTGTGGAGTTTGGCTCTCTCCTTTTTCACCATAATGAACGCCCTTATGAATATACCCGTCGCCCGTGGTGGAATATATTTATTGTTGTAACGCCGATCCAATCATCTTTATTAATGTATATATATATATTAATTTACGATGATGGGCGTTTTATGTATAAGGGATAAATAAATGCTAACCAACAATATGTCAAAAATATCCTATTCAATAATCTGAATCTAAATAATCTAGATATAAAATAATAATAATAATACATTTATAGATACATTTATATATTTCTTTTTTTTTTAAAAAAAAAAAAAAACAAAAACAATAGAATACATTGATCTTTTAATTTGCAAAACTATTCAAAATTCTTGATCTGATTCCAGAAATTCTTGTTATACGTGAATTTATCAACCTAGCCAACGCATATATTTGATATAAAACTAGTTTAAATGTGCACAAAAAAAAAATTCATATAATAAATAATCACGTGTAATTTATTTACTAATTATATGTATCGGGTATACATATATGTACGTACTATAAATGATGTTACATATAAAATATTTGATTTGATATCGAATGTATACTATGATCAAAATAGGAAAATCAAAAAATACATTTGAACTCCGATACAAGAAAAAAAAAGGGGCCCAATTGATCGATCACCGGAAGTTACGTCGACAACAGCTTTGTATATTTATTTATATTTATTACATATACACATATGTATATTATGTTTTGCATAAATCAAGCGACTTACATATTTACTAATAAACGTCATACGATGACCTAAATGTTCGTTATGCCTTACTCGTCTATTAAAATTTATTATAACTGGTTATTCTCCAGCTCTAGCTTCCAAATTTGGATTACAATCATCTCACTTCCATTTCTATTATTTCTTGAAATTTTGGTAATTTTATTTTTCTCTTGTATTGATAATTCCTTCTTTCTAATCGTTCTACTTATGTTCTATCATTTTATTTTTATTAATTATGTTATTAATTATGTATTAATTATGTTATAAATTATACATATTATGAATGTATATTATATTATCGTTATAAATTATATTATTAATTATGTTATAAATTATGTTATAAATCATATTATAAATTATACTTTCATGTACTTCCTACGTAACATACTTTCATATGTATGTATGCGTATTGACCTCACATCGTAGTAGCGGTACACGTGATACTCGTCCACATCGGTTCGCAAGAACATCCTCATGAAAAAAAATAAACCTATTAAATCTTTTCATTTAATTGTATATAACAACTTTTTTTATTAAAATACAAAGGATAAAGTTAAACTTGTATCATGTGGATTATGAGTTTTAGACACAATCGGACGTACTACTATAGTGTATGCTACATGTATGCATAGAATATCCAAAAACATTAGTTTACATTAGTTTACATTAGTTTATACTATTAATGGTTCTACGTACTAATAACTTTGAATGTTATATCGATTATTACCGAATGTTGCATCGAATATCATATTACTGTAAATATCATAGAGAATTTTTACTTGTATTTTACACTTAATTATTATTATGTATAACTGTACGTTGATCTCAACAAGCATAATATTGGTAGAAAAAAATTGTGTCGAATTACATACCTTAAACTCAAAGACACAATACTTTACACATGAATTAATAAACGAAAAAAAGTGTGTGGTATTATTAATTTCTTTACAGAAGGGTACTAACTGTTTTACGAAATTTTTTGTTACTTATGAATTGTGTTGTTTCAGATATTTATAAAATTAAATTATGTATATTTCACACCGCTTCTAAGGGGAAAAAAAATTCTTGATTATGTATGTTACAAATTTTTTTTTATCTAATTCATTCCCAACAAAGAATTATGATTTTGTTTACTAATCCATATTCTACAAACAGATCATCTATAAATAGAATTAATCTTCAAGATTTTTTCAATTCAATCAATTCCAATAAAAGAATTCTCATTTCACGTCATTTTTTTTCCTCCTGAATTGTTTTGTCTTGTTTCTAACCGTGCATATATCATCTTGTTCATATGTGCAGCAATAGTTTTATGTTGTATTTTAAAATGGTTATTATATATAAAATAAAACTCTCTAAACCGTATTAATTCAAATATCTAACTTATCCGTTAGACTATAATTAAAAAAAATTAAACTCAACTTTTATTAATAAATTATATCCATATAAGTAATGAATGTTATCTACGTATACATATCTTAAAACCTGCCTAACTGGCAAAGTAATTAGTTTAAAACTGATTTTGTACTAATTCTATTGATTATAATGTATTGTTT